GCATCTTCTGGAATGTTCAAGAATGTTAAAGATGGCTCTTCACGCCCATATCTGGCACCTGGGCTGGGGCAGTTGGAACAGCTGGGGCTGCCTGGTCATCTCCTTCTCCCTCCATGTAGCCTCTGCCTGGGGGCTCCCTCACAACATGGCGATCCCAGGGTGTTCAAATTTCTTACACAGAAGCTAGCTTCTTCTAGAACTAGTGTTCCAGGAGGTCAGGGCAAAAGCTTCTAGGCTTCTTATGATCTAGCCTTAGAAATTTCAGAATATCTTCTGCCATTTACTATTGGCAAAGCAAGTCATTGAAGCCAGCCAGATTCAAGGGGAGGAGATTTAGACTCTACCTCCCAATGAAAGTAGTAGCAAACATTTGAGATCATCTTTAATCTACCACAGAAGGAGGCAGACGTTAAAAAAAAAGAATCATGCAAATAATTATTGAAATGAAGAAAAAGTGCAAGTTTCCGTATAGTAATTAGCATTCTTGTTTGCAAATGACAGAACATGAACTCAGATGGACTAATAAAGAGAAGGGAATTTACTGGTCCACCTAACTGAGAAGTCCATGGTGAATCCAGATGCTGGAATGATATGGTCAAGAATCTCTTTCCCTGCCTCCCAGCTCTACTTGTCTCTTTACTCAGTTGGTCTGATTCTCAGACAGGTCTTCCTCAGTTGATGGCCACAAAGGCCACCAGCCGCTTCAGGCTTTTCTTCTACCAATGTAGCAATCCCAGCTGAAAAGAGAGGCTATATCTTTTTATAAGGCAGTGGTGGTTCAGTGGTAGAATTCTTGCCTTTTATGATGGAGCCCCGGGTTCAATTCCTGGCCGATATACGTATGCACAGCTACCACCCACCTGTCAGTGGAGGTTTGTGTGTTGCTATGATACTGGCCAGGTTTCAGTAGAGCATCCAGACTAAGACAAACAAGGAAGAAAGGCCTGGTGATTTACTTTCGAAAATCATCCAATGAAAACATTACGGATCACAATGAAAACCACAACCAATCGTGAGGATGGTACAGGAGCGGGCAGCATTTTTTCAGTTGTGCATGGAGTCACCATGAGTTGGTGACCAACTCGATGGCAGCTAACAACAGCAACAACAAGTAGTTTATTCAGGGTTATACACCTAGTTGGGGGGCAGGCAGGACTGAGACACAGGCAGATTGGTTTAGAGGTCGTACTCTCAACTAAACTGCTGCAGCATCCTCGAGGAGCTGGGTAATCTCCCTTGGCCTCAGCTTCCTCACCTGTAAAGAGAAGGGGTTGAATTATTAGATGACACCCCTTGGCCACTCTGACACTGTACTCCTAGGATTGCCCCGTGTGGTATTCCAGGTAAGGATATGTCTGTGCAGGTTCCTCAGCTATATCTTAAACAAGATGGTGAGAATGGAGTGGCAGGCAGATGGGGGGACCAGAGAGGTGGTTGAATCAACCCAACGCAGAGCAGAGTGGTGGGATGGAGCAGGTGGCATGCAGGGTGGAGGTGCTGGAATGTAGGGGTTACATTCCTGGGCTCTGCCTGGGTTTCAATCCTGCTTTCCTTAGTAACTAGGTGCATGATCTTGGGCAACCACTTTGACCCAGTTTCTCCATTTGCCAGATAGGAGAAATAATGGCACCTGCCTTAGTAGAATCATTGGGGCAATTAAAAGAGAGAATCCCTGTAAAACAAATGGTACAATGCTTTCCAAATAGTGAGTCTTCCACAGATGTCAGTACAACATTACTACTAATAATTGTTATTATTATCAATGAAAGGAACTATGAGATGGAGAGAAGAGGTACAAGGAGTATATGTAGAGAAGCATCAGTGAAGGAATTCAATAACTGGCCATCTTTGTCATTGTTATTAGCTGCCATCGAGTTGGCCTGACTCATGCAGATCCCATGCACAATGGAATGAAATGCTGCCTGGTTCTGCATCATCCCCATGATTGTTTGCTGATCAGACTATTGTGATCCATGGGGTTGTCACCAGCTGATTTTCAGAAATAGATGACCAGGCCAGGACTTTTTTCCTAGTCTACCGTAGCCTGGAAGCTCCACTGAAACCTGTTCAGCATCATAGCAACACACAAGCCTCTATTGACAAATGAGTGGTGGCTGCACATGAGGTGCCTTGGCTGGGAATTGAACCCAGGTCTCCTTCATGGAAGGTGAGAATTCTACCATTGAACCACCACTGCCCCTGAGCCGTCTTTAGTATACTAAACGTTTAATGGGTGCCAGGCACCTTCACAGATGCTTGTCATACATTTGTTAATAAACAGGCACGGTCCTTGTCCTTACTTTTGTTGTGACCCACTTGGCTGGCTTGTGGCATTGTCTCCAAGTCAGCATGGTTCGGAGAGAGCTGCATGATATTGTGGAAAGAGCCTGAGGAAAGGCATTGGAGAGTCACAGCCTTGGATCTCATCTCTGCTGTATAACCTCTCTGAGCCTCAGATTCCTCATCTGTAATATACCTTTAACAGTAATAACAGCTAACATTTATTGAGCCTTTACAATGTGCCAGGCACTGGGAGAATTTAAGCAAGTTGTTGGGGTTCACCAGGTTAGTAAGTGGCAGAGCTGAAAGTAGGAACTTAGGCTCTGCCTCTGGAACCTCCATTATTCATGACTCACCACTCTGCACAAAGCTTTTAAAAGCCCCTGACTCATGATAGGCATCCAATAAACCAGAACTTTTATTGTTATTACCATGACAGCTAACTGGAGGGGCAGGCAGGGTTGAGACCCGGCAGACTGGCTTCAGAGTCTGTACTGTCAAATCAACTGCATTTATTCATTCAACAAATATTTCCTGAATTACTCTTCTTTGCTAAACACTAGGGATACATGGTGAACAAAATTTTATTCTTGACTTCAAGGGCGGCATCCTCAAGTCCAGAGACTGTGCACCAGTCAGCTTTCACTAGGCCGTGAGACCGTAACAACGAGAAAAACCAGTTGCCGTCAAGTTGACTCCAACTCATGGTGATCCCATGTGTGTCAGAGTAGAACTGTGTTCCATAGGGTTTCCAACGGCTGATTTTTCTGAAGGAGATCACCAGACCTTTCTTCTGAGATACCTCTGGGTGGACTCAAAACTCTAACCTCTTGGTTAGCAGCTGAGTGCTTTAACCATTTGCATTATCCAGGGACTGCAACGCAGTAACAAGTGTCCCTTAAATTTTGAGGTTTATTTTCCACTCGCGTGTGATCTTCATTCTGGGATCCAAGCTGAAGGAACAGCCCCTACATGAGACATGTATTCTCTCGGCAAAGGAAATTGAGCCACGTGATGACCCTTAAAGCTTCTGCTTGGACATAGCTCATGTCTGCTCATATTTATTTGGCCAAAGCAGGTCACATGGTTAAGCCTGGCCAGTGAGGGCAGGAAGTATGTTTCTCCCTCAAGGAGAGACAACCCAGAAGATTCTGTAGGGACACGTTCAGAGACGGCAGTTTTTGAACCAATAATAAAATCTACCACAGATGGATTCTTAAATAAGCAGTTACAATACCATGTGGTAAGTTCTCTGATGAAAGTCTCTATTCTTTGAACCAAGGAAGAGAACGCTTAACTCTTTCACTTTGTCTCATGAATTTAGAACAAAGTGAAATTTAGAGCAGGCTTTGATTACTGAGCCTCCATTTTCCAGAACAAGTTGTGACAAACGCTTTTTGAGAACAAAAGTTCATCATGTAGTAGCCTATTTAGAGTAAAAAGCCTTAATAATAATCCCTCCTTCCCAAAAAGTGACCTAAGGAGTTTTATAAATAGCAATGGCCACAAGCAAAGTTTTGTAGGTAATGTGTCTACACGCAAAGGACTTGGAGAATTGACATATCCTCTGAATGATTTAGGAAGAAAGACTTGTTCTTGAGAGCACTGTGTCCATGTGTTGGTAATAGGGGGAAGGAAGGTTAGGATGGTGGGGAAAATGTGGCATGAATTATCCAGAGATTGGCCATAGACCATGGGTAAGTTATTTGGGTATCTGCTCAGTGGTTCTCCCTATTGCTCAGTGTGCCCCAACCTTCCTCTTTGGAAGGAATATATAGAGGGTTTATATAGGTATGGAGTCCCTGGGTTGTTAACGTGCCGCTGCTAACTGAAAGACTGGAAGTTCAGTCCACCCAGAGGTGCCTCAGAACAAAGGTCTGGCTTTTCATCTGAAAAGGAAAATCAGCCATTGAAAACCATATGGAGCACAGTTCTATTCTGACACACATGGGGTTGCCATGAGTTAAGATTCTACTTGATGGCAGCTGGTTTTATAAATTTAGAGTCACAACTCTGGAAAGCTGTTTTGCTTTGCTGTTGTGGTTATTGTTGTTTTTTAACTTCCTATAATGGAACTCAACTTAAATCTGGAACCCGCATTTCCACTGATGGTAAACTCACTAACTTCTGGTTTAAAATTTAGTATCTTCTGGAGAAATATCAAATAAATTCAAATTGCTTTACCTACCCTGTCTCTTCCTCATCTCTCCAGGTTCCCAGGAAGCCTGTGCATTGTCCTGTCCTGGGGGATGTGTATCTGGTCCATGATCTCCATCTGGCTATTTCTGTACTCAGTGGAGGTATCTTCAGCACCAATGATGCTGAGGGTGATGAGAAGTGGGGGGTGCGGATGGTAGGTCCAGAAATCCTTGTGCAGGGGTGGAACCAGTAGACGTATCTTAGATGTCCGCTTACAAGCTTTTAAGACCCCAGACCCCAAAGTAGGATGTAGAACATTTTCTTTATAAACTATGTCAGCCAGTTGAGCTAGATGTCCCCCAAGACCATGGTCCCCATCCCTCAGCCCAGTAACTTGGTCCCTCAGGGAGTTTGGATGTGTCTGTGAAGCTTTTATGACTTTGTTTTGGTCAAGTTGTGCCGACTTCCCCATTATTGTGTACTGTCTTACCCTTCACCAGAGTTACTACTTATCTATTGTCTAGTTGGTGTATTTTCCTCCTCAACCCTCCCCTCCCTCATAACCTTCAAAGATTGTTTCTTTCTGTGTGTAAACCTTTTCCAAATTTGCATGTTATCCTTGCACAGGGGCCATGCTAATCTTCTCTGTATTGTTCCAATATATTTAATTTTAGTATATGTGAGGCTGAAGTGAGCACTTGAAAGACATTTTTGCTGATTATAGAACTCTAGATTAACGTGTTTTTTTTTTTCCATTTGATGTTTTCAAGATGTCACTCCTTTATCTTCTAGTTTGCATAGATTCTGATCCATAGATTCTGTCACCTTTCTTATCTTTGTTCCTCTGAATGTCATATGACTTTTTTCTGGTTCATTTTAAGATTTGTTTTTCTTTCTCACTGTGTGTTGTTTGCTTGTTTGTTTAGCAGCTTGGTTATAATATGCATTGTGTAATTTTCTTTGTGTTTATCATGCTTGAGGTCTATTGAGATTCTTGGATTTATAGGTTTATAGTTTTACCAAATTTGGAAAAAATTTGTCTACTATTCTTTCAAATATTATTTCCAATCGTACCCCCCACTCCCTCTGGACTCAAATTGCATGTATGTTAGACAGCTTGATTATTCCATTGGTCCCTGAGGCTGTGTTCCTTCATTCTGGATAGTTTTATTGATAGGTTTTCAAGTTCACCAATCTTTTCTTCTGCATTGAATTTGTTGTTAATTCCATCCAGTGAAAATTTCATTTCAGTAATCGTATTTTTTTTCATCCCTAGAAGTTCCATTTTTTTCTGATTTAAATATTCTATTTTTCTCTTCATTATGTTCATGTTTTATAACCTTGAGCATGCAAAGCATATTTATAATAGTTGTCTTAATAACCATGTTTGCTAATACTATCATTTCTGTTATTTCTGGAGCTGTTTCTCTACACTGATTTTTCTCCAGATTATTGGTCACATTTTCTCGTTTGTTTGTATGTCTGGTAATTTTTTATTGAGCACTGTACCTTATGAATTATGTATATTTTGAGGTACTAGGTTTTGTTATACTTCTACAAGGAGTGCTCATTTGTTTTTCTGGCAAGTATTTCTGTTACCTGTAGATCAGTTCTATGCTTTTGAGGTTTACTTTTAAGCTCTTTTTGAATGGGCCTAGGGTGGTCTTTAACTTAGGGATAATTTAGCCCCATTTCTAAAGTCTGACTTTTCCAAAATCTCTGCCATATATGCCGTGTGTTCCATCCAAATCTCTCCATTTTGGCCAATGAGAATGCAAACAATTTGTGACCCCGTGTGAGCTCTTAGAATTTATTTGGCTTATAGCTCCCCAGTAACTGTTCTCTCCTGGAAGTTTTTCTTGCATGATCATGTAGGATTTCACCCAACCCATACACAGAATTGATATTCAACCAACAACTCAAAGGGATTCTTATGCAGATTGCTAGAGATCTCAGTGTAACTCCCTCCTCTTCAGTATCCTACCTTTCAAATTCTAGTTAAGTTAGCCTCCCTAATCTCTGTCTCCTAAATTAAGTGAGACTTCTGGGCTCTGTTTGAGTTCTTTCTCTCTGTGCTGAAGTCTGGAAATTCCCTCCTTACAGAATGTTTGAACAATAATAAGACTGAACTTTTTTTTTCTTTCTCTCTTTTCTCAAAAATCACAGCCTTGTTCCGTTTATTGTTCGATGTCTGAGAATAGTTGTTTCTAAGATATTGTCCAGTTTTCTAGCTGTTTACAGCAAGAGGGTACTCTAGTCCTTCTTATGCACTTGTGGTCTGAAAAGGAAGTCCTCAGGGTCAGCTTATTTTATAGCAGTTTTTTTGAAGATTATTTTTTCCCTCAGAATTGTGGTTACTGCAGAAGTGACTCTGTTGAAAATGCCTTGGACTGAGTTACTTTTGGTTTGAAAGGATAGATTTACCTGAAAGTATAAAAATTCTATAAGGCAAGGAACTTTAATTTAAGGAAATTAATGCAACAATATTTGTTAAGAAATTTCTATTTGCCAGGCTCTGCTCTAGTTGTTGGGGATATAATAGTAAACAAAGAGATAAAAATCCTCTGTTCTAATTGAGTGCATTGTAGTAGAGAAAGAGGCAACAAGCATAATAAGTAAAATCTTAAAATCTATAGTATGTCAGATGGTAAGTGGTATGGGAATTATAGAGAAAAAATAATCCTCTCAGACCACAAGTGGCACTGATTGGAAAACATGGCCACTGTCCCTTCGTAAACCTTAATGACAAAGGCCATCTGCTCAGAGGTAAAATAGCTGACTATATTACCATACATGTAAATCTAGTCTGGGCTGGTCCCCTCCTGCCCTGTTCATCTCTGTAATTTACAAATACTTACTACCAAGGCATATTCATATATCTGTTTGCTAAATGATTTCTTTTCAGTTTCCCCAGTAGGACTGGACACTCCATGAGGAGAATAGGCATCATGCCTGGTCTTGTTCATGATTATATCCCCAAGCAGTCCATATAGGGCTTGGCATTTGGTTGTTGTTAGCTGCCTTCGAGCCTGCTCCAACTCATTTTGACCCCAAGTATTACAGAATGAAACATTGCCTAGTCCTGTGCCATCCTCACAAAAGTAGGTATATTTGAGCCCATTGTTGCAACCACTGTATCAGTCTACCTCATTGACAATCTTCCTGCTTTTCGATGATGCTCTATTTTACCAAGCATGATGTCCTTCTCCTGGCATTTGGTTAGTGTTCAGTAAGCATTTGTTATCTACTAAACATATACGTTGAAGGAATTCATGGATGTGTTGGGTTCTTGATGCTTACCTGGTTTATACCTTCTATGCACATTCTCACTTCTCCCTTCAGAATTGCTGGCCAATTTCTCTTTGAAAGTTACCCATTGCAATTACACTTTGTCTCCTTTGTGTCTTTACAGCTGTGCAATCTTTGCATACCCTAAATGACCAGATTTCCCATTTTATTGTCACCAAGTCGAAGGCACTGGAGGAGGATAAAGACCCCTTTCTACCGACTGAGAAGGAGACTCTCAAGAGTTCCATGATGTTGATGCGGCATCTCTTGATGGATGCTCAGGTACAAAGATTAATAACGAAATTCTGTATAGAGAAGGTGGTGTGTTTTTTTTTTCTTTTTTTTTAGTTGTGGGTACAAACTGTGCTAAAATGTCCACCTACCACACTTACTGAAAGCTGCCTTTGCAATGAACAGCCACATAACAAACATTCTGCTGTACTGAGTATTGGATTTCTGATTACGTCTTATTGGGGATTTAGTATTAAAATAGCTTGCTTTAAAGTCAAATGGGGCTTTAAAGTAATATACTACGTGCTGTCTCTGAGAATTTAACAGATCTCCGATTAGCCTTCGAAAAGTGGAAATCCATTTACATACAAACTTGGCAGGCATCAAAGCTGGCAAAGGCTTTAGAGTGCAGCAAATACTTATCCCAACGGCATCACCGAGTAACTAATGAATATTTTGGTACATTTGATGCACCACCAAGTAAGCAAATCAGCACGGTTTTATTTATTTTTTTAAATGCTAGCAATGAATTTATTGCAGAAGGTATTTTGCTCATTGCATGCTATTTGTGGAGACTTAATTCTTCAAGATTTCTCCTCGTGCACCATTTTATTGAAATATTTAAAATTATCTACTCCTTCTGGCTTTGTTGATAGGTCTCTCCAGATATGCTGATAGACAAACACCAGGTGTTTAAGAAAATTGCTATGTTCTATGTGAGTGAAGCCAAGCTAAATGAGATTTTATTGTCATTCTTACTTCTTCAGTATCTAGAAATATACATTTCAGAGACTGTTCTTTGGGTTTGCTGATTTTGTGTGAGTTTGCCCTGGAGCATTCTTCTCAAGCTTGTTTTCTGTTCAATAGTAGTGAGGTCAGAATAGTTGGTGGTTTTCTGCTGTGCTCAGTAGCAGTGATTTTGTACTGCGGTTTCTTTGATTGTGTTTCTACCATAGTAATAGTTTGTGTTTTATTTTTAAAATCCATCCTGAAGCCTGGATCTTGTACCAATAAGACTTGAACTGGTAAAGCTTTGTGTATGTCTCACCTGTCAATGTTTGTGGCTGCCCCGCGGGATTTTTGAACCCCTATGATGAGATGCCCCAAATTATGCAAAGTCTTTCATTTCTATTCGCTGTTCTCCCTTCTCCCCTTTATTATGAGCAGCCCATTCAACCTCACCTTTCTTCCCAAGCCTGTCTGGTGGAGAAAGCAAAGACTCTGAAGCTACAGCAGCCAGTTTGAAAGCTCAGAAAAAAGGGAAATTTAGTAGAACAATTTACCAAATAAAAGAGGGCAAATTGTTTTTGAAAGGAATGCTTTCCTCAATGTCTGGACCCAATCCGATACCTAAACACCCCAGCCAAGGAAACTACCTAAATGAATCCCCGAAGATACTCTGTAAACTCCAGTTTGCAAAATCTAAAGAAATAGAAAACCATTCATCTTTTCCGTTTCCCTTTCATAGGAGCTTACTAGTTCCCAGAACTGGATTTGAAAATTTTTAACACCACTTAAGGAGAGCTTTCTCCCCTTAAATGCCTAATTGACTTGTCACCTTTCGTCCTTAGTGGTATTGATAGTGATTTTTTGCCTTTTATTCAATGGGGCTCAAGCATCCCACATAATGTGATTACTGTAGAGGAATATTTTATTATCTCTTTCTCACCTGATCCCAAATCAGTGCCTGCTGGGATTTTCTCAAATAGCCAGATAAAATGGAGCAGGATACGGAGGCTATTCCCCTAAGTCATGCCCTCTAAAAGGATAGCGGGTTGGATCTCCTTCCATAGAAGGGGACAAAGCCGGGGAAGTCAGGGTAGAAAGTGATGTGGTGCTTGGAAATGTTGTTTCTCTTGATTCTTGATGCTCAAAGACCCCTCACCCTTGCCTTTTAGACTAATATAAGATGGTGTGGGTTGAGATTAAGTTTACTCTAAAAGTACTATTTGCATTTCTTTTCTGTCAAAGACCAATAGCTTTTTGAAGCATTTTTCTTGGTTATGACTGCATATTTATTGTTGAAGTCTCCTAGAACTATGTAGCTCAGACCCCCAGGCTCCCGACCGAGTATATCTGAGATATACCCTCTCAGCTTAGTGCTGACAAGCTCAGAGCATGCTATGGAACCCTGGTATTTTGGAGGACAGCCAAAGGGGATATGTGGTTTT